GAGAAAGAACAATTAGTTTGCAAGTTGAAGAAATTTATCTATGGTCTCAAACAGGCTTCTCGTTAGTGATACTTAAAATTTGGTGAGATAGTAAGTTCTCTTGGTTTTGTTGAGAATAAGATGAATCAATGTATATATCTTAAGGTGAGTGAGAGCATATTTTTCTTGTTCTTTATGTTGATGATATTTTGCTTGCAAGTAATGATTTGAGCTTATTTCATGAAATTAAGTAATTGTTGTGCAAAATATTTGACATGAAAGATCTTGGGGAAGCATCGTTTGTGGTCGGCATTTAGATTCATCGGGATAGGAGTTGCGGGTTATTGAGACTTTCTTAAATGACATATATAGATCATGTGCTTAAAAAATTTAATATACATAATTGTAAGTTTGAGAATGTACTTGTTGTGAGAGATGATAAATTCAGTGTAAGTCAATGCCCCAAAAATGATTTTGAGGAGGACCTTATGTAAAATGTACCTTATGCGAGTGTTTTTGGCAGTTTAATGTATGCATATGTTTGTACCAAGCCTGACATTACTTTTGTAGTTAAGTATTTTTGGTAGATATCTTTCTAAACCAAGATTAGATCATTATGTGGTAGCTAAAAAAGTTATGAGATGCTTACAAAGAACAAAAAATTATATATTTGTTTATAGGAGAGTTGATAGTATTGAGATGATTGGTTATTTAGACTCAAATTTTGCTGGGTGTTAGGATGATTTAAAATCCACTTCAGCATATATTTTCATGTTAGCTGAAGGAGCAATAGCATGTAAGAGTGTTAAACAAACTCTCAGAACTTCTTCCATTGTGCAAACTGAATTTGTAGCTTGTTATGGAACAGCAACACAAACTATATGGCCTAAGAATTTTATTTCAAGACTTAAATTGTTAATTTCATCTCTAAACTATTAACAATTTATTGTTATAATAATACATTTGTGTTATTTTCAAAAAATAATAAACATTCTAGTGGGTCTAAACATATAAAAATTAAATATCTTTTCTGTTAAAGATCTTGTAAAGAATTGTGACATTGTGATTGAACATATTAATACATAATCAATGTTTGCTAATCCTTTAACTAAGGGAGTGAGACATGTAACTTTTAAGAAACATGTTGACAACATAGACATTTTGGGGTCTTTTGATATACTTGGTTGGCGGGAGTTTATTTATGTGTTAAGCACTTGAGTATTGATTTAATTTCATATGTGATATTTGATACTCATTATGGTTGAGATACATTTGTTTGATGAATAATAAATATATGAATGATTTTCTTTATTGTGCACATTTATGACATGTCAATTTATACAAAATCTTAAGGTTTAATGTATGTCTTAAGTATGACTGTTTTGTTAATAGAGTGTGTCTTTGATTACACCATTTGAAAAAATCTTGAGATTTTATGTATGGATACATACTAGCTTATTATTGAAGCTAATGAATTTCTTTAACGTATTGTTGAAGCATGCTGTTAAAGCGAAATCATTTGAAAGACTAACAATGAAAATAACATGTTTATCAGATCACATATTGAAACGTTATTTTCTTGTTACACTAACACATCTTGATTCATGTCAATAGAATTATTATTTTTTGTAATAATGGATTGGTCATATGTCAATAATGGATGTAAAGGTCGCCATGATTCGAAAATAGTAATTTTATTGGACTGGATTGCGTTTAAGATGTTGTCTCGGGACTATATTATTATTATCACTAGAAGAAAAATATTTTTTTAGCGGAAACATAGTCGTCGCTAAAAGTGAATAATTCGCCGCTAAAAATTTTTTGCGGCAAAAAAATTTGGTTGCCAATTTATCGCAGCAGGCTCGCCACTGAAAGCTTTTGACGACCAACTAAAGTATCATCGCTAAAGCAGATTATCAGCGATAAAAAATTTTGTAGCTTAAAAATTCATCTACTTGTCACAGAAAAACCTTCGTCATCGAAAAAAAATTATATTATGATCATATTTTTTTTCTTTGGTGATGACATAATATTTGTCGTTAAAAATCAAGGTACATTTTTTGCGACTAGCATATTTTTGACGCCAAATAACAAATGAACAAATTTTATAAAAGGGTAATACGACACGACACGTTTAAACCATTTAATTTTTAAAAAATTATATCAACAAATTTTAATACTTCATTTTTTTTACTGTCATATGTACTTACCTAAGAAAAGAGGAATTTCTAGTCAAATCTCACATAAAAATCAAAATCAAACTTTAAGGTTACAAAAAAAAGGCAAGAGCCCACTGCCTTTTATAGGCAAGTCAGCCCTCATCATCTCACCTCATTTGCCGATGTGGGACAAAAACAAAAAACATTGGTTTGCCTTTATCTTTGAACTACTCTCCATCTTCCCTCCTTTTGTCTTTGAACTACTGTTTTACTTTTTTTTTTGTATTGATTTCTTTACATCTTTTTTTTTGTCTAATTTTTTTAAATAATTATAAATTTATGATTATATTAATTTTATTTAAACGGGTAAATGTGTGATAAACGAATTGACCGGTCTCACCTAAACAATACCCGTAAAATGTCTTTTTTTTGCTATAATTTTTCTTACACGTCGCAAAAAGTCGTAACAGTAAAACGTTTTTCTTATAGTGATATTTTGCGATCAAATATAAATTATCGCCAAGCAAAAAAAAAAATTTTAACTTTTTTTTTGCGACAAACATGTACTGTCGTTAAGTATTATTATTTTTGTTTTCTTATTTTTCATTATTTGACACAGATTTTGCGATCGAAAAATTATTTTGGCGACAATTTTTTTTGTCGCCCATAAAATTAACATTTGGAGCCAATTTTTTTTTTGAGGGAACGTTTTTGTGAAGATTATTGACGACGACTACAAAAAATGGTTGCCAAAAATCTCACAAAAAATTTACCAAGACAAACATTTGAAATTGTCGTTGAAAATTACTTTTTTACAACAAGTTTTATTATTCGTCTCCAAAACTCGTCACTAAAAAGAAAATTTGTTGTAGTGTATTATATATATATATATTATTTTGTTGTTTTTCAAAAATATATATTATTTTATTTTATTTTTTAAATGACTACAATTAATGTTGCCCATGTGGGAGAATGTTAAAAAAAAATTTATATTAGACCTCCATTAATTGACAGTTAATTTTTAGTTTGTGAAAACGGGCTGAATTTATGGTTTAATAAGATGAGCCCAATATTATTAAGTGATCTATTTTTTATGGGTTTATTTACATCTTTTTAATTAATGTGATTGAGACGGTTAAGTATAAGTTTTAATCTAATTGTCGCCCATAATAGATTGCATTATAAATAGTAGACTAGGTCCCTCTCCACTTCAATATATTTTTCAGATCACATATTGAGATATTATTTTTTTCACATCTTGATCTATGTCAATAGAATTATTATTTTTTGTAATCATGGATTGGTCAAATGCCAATAAATGATGTAAAGGTCATCATGGTTCGAAAATAATAATTTTATTGAATCGGGTTTTGTTTGAGATGTTGTCTCAGGACCATATTATTATTTTATATTATATTATATATATATTATTTTGTTGTTTTTCAAAAATATATATATTATTTTTTTTAAATGACTACAATTAATATTGCCCAAGTGGGAGAATGTTAGAATTTTTTTCATATTAGACTTTCATTCATTGATAGTTAATTTTTAGTTTGTGAAAAAACGGGATGAATTTATAGTCCCATGAGATTAGTCAAATATTATTAAGTGATATATTTTTAATGGGCTTATTTATATCTTTTTAATTGATGTGATTGAGACGGTTAAGTGTAAGTCTTAATCTAATTGTTGTCCGTAATGAGAGAGCCCCTTAAATTTCATTATAAATAATAGACTAAGTCCCCTCTCTGCCTCATAACCCTAATTTGATTTGTCTCATTGAGAGTCGTCTATTGCTTTGAAGAATGAGAGGAAGACATTTCCCTTCCGTAAAAAAAATTCAGATATCAAATATCATGACTCATACATATATGTTCTAAATCTTGTAATTTAGGTAACCTAAATTTCATATACAAATCATTAAAATTTCTTATATAAATTTCTAATAGGCCAACCAAAGTTGTTACTCCACTAGTCAATTAGAGTAGGAAAACATACTAATATGGTAGAAAAACCAAAAGAAAACAAACCAAGAATAGACTCTCTCTTGATAAAATTAATAATAAAACCTAGTAAGATACCAGTAGGTAAAATATTATGCAACTATGTTGTATTGATCATGATCTATACTTGATTTAAGGAAAAAACTTTCTTTTTCTTCTTTTCAATTGTTAGTTGGCAACTTTACGCGGAATATATATATATATATATATATATATATATATATATATATATATATATATATATATTTTTTTTTTTTTTAAGTTTGCCCAATAAAAAGAGAGGCCAAGGGCGTCACTTCCCGCTCAACTTTATTGATTTATGGAGAACATAAATTGGTAAGGGAAGACGATAACTCGTTTCGAGGACCTCACCCACACCCACCAGCCTGATGGAATGCATGAAGAGGGTTATCGAATTTAATTTTTCGATATCAGATTAAAAAATTATTATAAATTATTAATCTTAATTTGAACTCATGGTCAAACTATGAACGATTTATTCCTCATGAATTTTTTAATTCCGACTTGAAAATATATCTTTGACCAGACCGAAGAGAAAATGAAAATATATTTTTGACCAGACTGAAAAGAAAATTAATCGAAGTGCATTTAAATAGACTAATTTACTATGGTTAAAAAATAAAAATTGAAGTAATAATATAGACTGTCGGATCTAATCAATCTGAACTGTTGTCGTGCTTTGTGTAAGTAGAACTACATGTTTTATATCGTATACACAATAAATTGGACAATGCAAGTAAATTTTGACAAACATAAAATGCAACTGGGTAAAAAAAGAGAAAATATATAGGCAGAGCCATGCATTACAAAAAATTAAGTTCCCATATATATATATATATATATATATATATATATATTAACCCAGGCACAACAGCAAAAACTTCACAATTTCGTAAAACAACATAAGAAAACAAGCAAATTCTTTGTGATAGTTAAATCAGACCACATTCAATCGATACAAAAAACAAAAGCCAACTCTCAACCTTCCAAGGAATCTAATTAACAACTTCAAAAATAAAACAAAAAAAGAATAAAGGAGAAGAAACCCACATCAGCAGTTGGATGAGAAAAAAATTTTTATCAATTACCCTCCAGAGTGCGAGACTGGAGTTGTTACAAACTGGCCATCCTTGTATACATGAACAAACTGCTGAGGCAAAGCATGCTCCCCCTGCAACAAAAACACACAAACACACACACAGAGTAAACCTTATTTAAGTACATTGCCTGAATTTTTTTTCCTGAAGCAGCAAAACACTATAAATTAATCCTTAAAAACCTTGACCGAAAAGAAATTTTGAAAATCCTGTATGCGTATCTAAATAATCATAATAATATACACTCTTCAATCAAAGTTCATTTGTTGATAATTTTGTTGAGGCGTAACCCAACCCATGCATTGGGGTCCATCAATGTTCATTCAGTCAAAAGAATTTCAATAAAACATAAATTAATTAAGGTTACAGAGTTTTGCTGCATGGCTTCTTATGCCTAGTATGTGTTAAATGTGGTAGTTAAGTAGGCCTTCTATACCCCTGACCCTCACCAAAGAAAATGAAACACTAAATTGTAACTACAATGAATAATGTCTTCAAAGTTCATCTCCTGCACATGCGGCTTGTAAACAGAGACTAAATCTAATGAAGGACGTGTCCCAAATGCTCAAGATGTTATGTTCTAAGCAACGGAAAAAAAAAAAGCAAAGATAGGTGGTGCAACAACCAGATGGCCATCAAAAGTCACTTGTACAAAAATGTTCCTGGCTAGAAATATAGTGTGATACCTTCCCTACTTTCTACCTAAGTTCCACAACAAAATTGATCAACAACCAACATTGGGAAAAACATAAGAGCTTTGTGACTATAGACACCAATACAATGAAACTTACACAGTTGATTACATATAATACAACTTCAAACACAAACTAATGAAAAATGAGTCTTAAATTTATATTACTGGACAAGAGTAGGTCGAATGCAGATATTTTCACTCTCACAGTCAATGCAGATATTTTCATAATTTTTTACAATTAAAAAGTTGTTACATAATATTGCATTATATCAAAACCTTCGTCAATGAGGGTCCCCTTGGTTTTGGTTTATGAGGGCCTTCAACAATAAGTAGCAACCCAAATCTAAAAATGAAACATACCCAATCACCATCAGGCTCAGCACCTGGCACCAAGATGTTGATTTCACTTGACTTGGCTGTTGTAATGGAAGCCTCCAAAGAATCTTTGCTTAAATATACTTGGCAACCTGCAGTGTTGTCTACCGAAATTGTCGGAGCTGAGCCCTACAATAGCCATAATAATAATAAATTGTAGAAATTAGATAAGTTCACAACTAAACTAAACTCCACTTCTCTAGAGCCTTAGCATTTATTACAAGTGAGTGATGCATACTATTTTGTGAACATAGAAAAGAATGTTAACAAATTCAAGGCAACCTACACAAATAGATTGAAACTTATAAGCAGATGGCCCCTCCCCCCAAAAAAAAACTGAAAGAAAAGGAAAGTCACCTGGCATTGCACCTCAACACCATTGCAATTAACAATCTCGCAAGCAGCCACAACATCCTGTTTTTTTTTTGTCAAAACAAAATCAATTAAAAAGCCCAAAAATCTAGCTACATATAGCTATAGCAATTCAAAATCTGTTCTATCTTTTAGAAAAATCTTCTCACTTACAGTGAATACAACACCCATCTTTGTGCATTTGTCAATCGTTATATTGTTAACCTTACCTGCACATTGAGAGAATAACAATAAGCTCTTCATGACTTACTAAATAGAAATTATACATGAATCAAAACTAATCATTCATTGGTAGCCAAGCTTTTAGATCTAGATGAAAACAAAAACTACATAAGAAAATAAAAAAATTTACCTTGGATCTGCAAAACAGAATCTTTGCATCCAAAAATATAAACTGTCTGTTTTGCATCACAGTCATCAATTACTAAATTCTTTCTTCCAATTTGATTCTCAACAACCCACCTGCCCATTGTACAGCACAGTGACAATGGCCAATTTAGAACTTCATCAACCTTTTCAGCTTTTCTATAGACCAAGAAGTGCAATAAACAAGAATGTGAACTCACTTACGACCCATTTGAAGCTCTAACTTAGGAGGACCTGCCTTAGAGAATGAGGGGGAATTGACATGCCCCTTTTCACCAACAGCAACAACGCTAGTTCTATCTGCACGGTTCTTTGTTTTCATATCATTTGTGACCTTCCTCAAACCTAAGAGGAAGAAACCAAATGAGCAATACCAAATAACCCAGGACAAAAAAAATTAAAAAATCCTCATAGCCAAAGAAAGAAGAAAAGGAGTCGAGAAGAGCTACCTGCTGTCACTGGCTTCCCAGAACTAATTTCTTGAAAAACAGCATTCATTCCTTCCTTTGGCCGTGATGATGAAGGCTGAGGCGGCTCAGAACTGAAGAGTGAAGCAGGTGGAGGAAGTGGAGGAGCAGGAGCACTTGGTGTAGGAGTTTTTGAGGGAGCAGATACAGTTTTTCCTGTGGCACTCCATACAGGGCCCAAAGGATAGTGAGTCTTCACATAATCCCTCAAACCCGGTACATAAAGCTCCTTCAAGGCTTTTGCCCACTCCACATGAATCAGGTCCTTATTTCTGTACTCTACAAGAACCTATGTTATCAAAACACAAAATGAGACCAAACCAGCTGAAATTTACTATACAAGGCAATAGCTTTGCGGGTTAAAAAGCATAGATCATCTTGCTGCAGAGGATGGAACATCATAATCACATATAATGGTAGCTATTGTTGTTCATGGCAATATTATATGCATGTATATATGTCAGTAATGTTTTCTGCTTTATTGTTTTAACACCATATTTACCAGAAATACGTAAATAAAAAGGTGACCCATTAATTTATGAACAACTAAAAGGTTAGGAGTAAAATGAAAAGTCAATGAACACAGAATATTTCTAGAGATTGCTTTCCCTGGACAAGTTCTGCACTTTTTCAAAGCGATTGAAAAATGTTCCCTTTTCATGGACAAAGGAAACAATTTCAGTTTTTTTTGTGTAGATCCATCTCCCAAGAAAGAGCCTAGGCAGACCAGCTTTCTTTATCTGAGGTTGTGCGAATTTACGTGTGATTAGTGATATGCAGCTCAATAAACTTCAATACGAATACTCCCTCATTCACCAGCACAAATACTACTGTTTTTTTTTTTTTTGGGGGGTGGGGGGGGGGTGGTTGAAATTCGGCTTTTCTGTGGAGAAAGGAAAAAAAACGATGTACAAAGATGCAAAATACAATAAAGAATTGATAACTACATTCTATCCGCCCTTCAATAGTTATCTTCTCTTCTTCTTATTTAATGCCAATTGATTTCTTGAGAGGCAGTATGGTAACGGGCAAATACATATCATTTGGCAAACATCAAAGTACCTTGTTATTGTAAAATTCAGCCATTTGCCAACTTTCTTCCACATGCCCAATGGGCATGCTCATACCTAGAAAAGGGGAAAGAAGAATAAGGAATCAAGAGACATAAAATCTAGTGATTTAGTCCTAGAGAAAAAAAAATTGTAAAATCTCTCTCACCGCAATCTTTGCCTGTATATGCAATCCACACGAGAGCTGTCAGACTATCAGCAGTAGTCTTCAAGTGGTTGAAGAAATCAGATCGCCTTCCTTCTGTCATCCCAGTAGCTTTCGTTATCACATCATTCAATGGTTTAAGAAATTCAACTAGACCCGTCATGTCAGGCTTCTGCATGACAAAACAAAAACACATACTTTCAGCATCAAAGCAACAGCGTGAAAATAAACCAACAAATAGAAATAAAAATGGAGAATCCACAGCAATTCAATTCCCCAAATCATACCCAAAGAGATTGTATCATCATGAAATACTGAACTCACATACCATGTTAGCCAAATTCAATTCTGGCTTTCATCCAATCCATATTTGTCAACATCAGGTCATGACTCAGATTGAATTGCACAATCAATATGGAGAATCATAATCAGCTTCAGAGTGACAGACCTTATCCTAATATCACATTCATAGTACTACATTATCCATTTTCAGTAACCATCTCAAATAGAAAATGCATACACATTTGCACGACAAAGTTATAAGACCTCAGAATATTATTCATCTGAACCAAATTCACTTCTGCTATGTTTAGGAATGTGGAACTGAAGAAAAAAAAAATGGGTCAAAATTTGAATTAACTTCCCACAATTCCAATTCCATGCTACCAACCACAGCTTTCATTTCATATAATTCTCCAAAGAGTTGGTAATATTTACACCAATCACAGGCACATAACCTACACTACAACACCAGAAGCGACATTTCAGATGTGGAAACCAAGTGCAGCAAACAAATATACATGAATATGCACAAGTATAATCCAAAGACACAGATTAACCAAGGCAAAACCTTCATATAAACAAGCTTTAAGGTATTTCAATGCTTATAAATACAAAATACAATATGTTCACAACGTATAGATTTTAGAAGAAAGCTGACCTGAGTTTGCTTGACCTTAATAAGAAGCTCCTTCTGAACAGAGAACGCCTCTTCAATAATCTTAGTGACATCCAAAACCTGTCCTCCAATCTTCTCCGCAGCACTTTTAACCCTACCTACGAACTGCGATATCAAATCGTCGAATGCCAAGATTGATGGATCTCTTGCCGCCTCATCTCCGCCAATCTCCGTCAAACCTCCAGCACCGAATCCGCCAGCAGACAGCGCCTCCAACCGCCCCACCGCCGCCTCCAATCTCTGTATCAGCTTCTCATCCATTACCCCTCCACCTCTTCCCCGCCCCCCTCTCTCTCAAAAAAGTTCTCTCTCTGGAGTTATATCTGATAGAGCAGATCTGCTGGTGGTGATTTGTTGTTATAGATCTGTCCAGGTGTGGCTGAGTATATATATTTATAGAAAATGTTCACTTTTCAGATTGCTTTTCTTTGAAACGCCGAAAGGCGAAAAGATCATTCGGTCGGTTTGTGGAATGTAATTGTCCATACGCTTCGCAGCGATGTCGCATGGGTCGGGTTGGTGTTGAGTTTTTTTAACTTCAAATCTAATACAAGATGGGTCGAACTGAGTCAAGTTAAAACACTTCCGTAGGCTTATTTAAAAAAATAAAAATCCGATTCAAATTTACAAAATTCAACTCATTTTACATGAAAAATAGTTGAGCAGTTCGAACTTATTATCAGCCTTCTGATATTCATTTAAGATTATTTAAAAAAATAAAATTGATAGATTCGACCCAAATTCATAAAATTTAACTAAATTATCAAATTTACAAATAAAATATAAAATTAAAGAATTTGAATATTTTTTAAATTACCTATTTTGTAATTAAATAAACTCGACATGACAATATGACAAGATTAATAATCAAATCATGTATGAATAAAATTAATTAAAAAAAATATTAGACACGAGTTATTTATATATAATTCATACACAAATCTAATATCAAATAAATTAAATATTTATTATTGCTAAAACCCGAATCACTCGACATCGCAATTTGATTTCATTTATGTAATAGAATAGGAATCTGCAATTGTCCAGTGACACGTCAGGTCATCCATATCTTCCACAACGCTCCAAAAGATAAAACCACCCCCTGCCGATTTAATCCTCATTTCTCTCTCTGCCGATTTCAATTCAATTTCTTGACGAGAAAATGACGATTGGTGGTGGTGCCGGCAATGGTGTGCCTAAGAAGCGACAGCGTGTGGGTAGCAACAGCCAACTATCCTCCACCATTGCTGTCATCACCGGCTCCAGTTCCGACGCATCTCCGACGGACGTTTATCGGAAGCCTAACTGCCTCCGCCGCTCCACCTCACACTCAGTCCTCCCTCAATCCTCATCCTACAACGCCCCCTCCTCCGTCAGATTCAACGACTGCGCGACCGCTGACGTCATCCTTCGTCTCTACCGCGAACGATCCACCGCCTTTGAATCCGACGACAGCGAATACACCACCGCCGTTGGCCAATCCGACGTTCAGATCTACCTTCACTCTGACGTCATCCGTCAGAGCAAATACTTCGCCGCTGTATTATCCGATCGTTGGCAAAAAGACTCAGACGACGTCGGTTCAGGCAAAATCTACCGACTCAATCTTGGAGTTCCGGCCACAGCTTGTTCAATCAACAATCACTGGGAAGTTCTTCAACTTCTATACACAAACGACTTTTCAAACACAATCACTAGTGTGTCAATCGCACTCTCTTTACTTCCTGTAGCTCTCGAATTGCTATTTGAGGATTGTGTTAGGGCTTGTGTTCGATTTCTCGAGGTCGTCCCTTGGAGTGAAGAGGAAGAGAAGAGTGTGTTGAGTTTGATGCCATTTTTAGGAGAGGAAGATTCTAAAGAGCTTCTCGCTCGGGTTTCGCATTCGGATAACGATACTCCCGAAGAAATGCTTCAGGGATTGATTCTCGCGGCGATGCACAACCACCCAAACATGGCGTTTGCAAAGGCTTTTGTTGCGAAACTTTTGAGGGACTTTTCGTCGAGGGAATCGGCGAGGAGAGTGTTGGATAGAGCGTTCGAGACGAGTCTGAAGGTAGTGAAGGAGTTGTTGGAGGAATATTCGAATCCGGACTTAAGGGGAGATCATAATGAGACAGAGGCAATTCAGAGGTTGAATTTGCACAAGGCAATGACGAATGCAAGGCATTTGTTATGGTTGATTGAGAGGATGATTGAGCTGAGAATGGCTGATAAGGCGGTGAAAGACTGGAGTGACCAGGCTTCGTTCACCGCAGATTTGCAGAGGACGTTTCGCGATGATGCGTGGAGAAATATCGTGCCGGGGCTTCCTGCTCTCGTGCTTCGGTGCACTCTCAAGCTTGCCAATGCCGTTACCTCTGGGTCTATTCTGGCTGCTAGACAGGTTTGAATTTCAGTTTTGTAGTCATTATTGATTTGATTTTTCTAGAGAAGATTGTTGCAAAGCAGAATGTTTAGAATTAGCACTGATTTTGCAATTTAATGCTTGGTTTCTTTCACCATATGTCAAATTTTGAGCAATGGATTTTCGATTGCAAAAAATTTGTTTACTGGCGTGGACTAAGTTGATTTATATTTTTGTTATTGAGGTGATAGTGATGTCAACAGGGGCTGATCCTTTGGTTTTAGTTAAAGGTATATTTGTAATTGACCTCAACTATGTTCGGAGCTATGCATTTTAATTCCAATTTATCTGATCAATAGTCTAGTAGGTAATAATACTTCAGGAGGATAACTTAATTAGAAGAGGAAGTGGATTGTCAGTGTTTTAGTTAGTGGTCTTGAGCTCCCAAGTCCAGTAATTTTAGCCACTCCTATGCTTCTCATGTTTTAATGCATGTGCGCCTCCTTCCTGTGTTGTGAGTGATCATCTTACACAACCATTAGCAGAATTGTGATGTAGTTTGTTGTTGACATATAAGCTCTGCTCATGACAATTTTTGATTGTGAAAGTAGGTCAATCCCATTGAGTAACTGCATTTCAGCTGTTGAATTTCAAATCGATACCCTTGGCACCTCTGCAAAAGGAGCACAACATTCATGCTAGATTTTGCTGCTCTTTTTTGGGTAATGATGTGAAGAGATGAAGCATATGAGAGAAGAGGAAGTCTCAGTGAATTTGCTGTAGTACTGTCAGTAGGTTTTGTGATGCATGATGGATGGGTGTTGGAAGGCCTTGAAAGAGTTTAGAGTATATAGGATTTCAAAGATGTTAGTGATTTATGCAGGTTTACACTAAGTACTCTACTAAGTCACATAGGAGGGCGACATGGAGTTATAGGAATTAGGTATGTTTTGACGGCACTGGAGTACGACATAGAAGATGTGCTATACACAACAGGCACCTTTTAGCCATGTTTACAAGTTTATGATAAAGAACGATACATATTGTCAAAGCTACTCTCTCTCTGTCATATATATGAGACTGATATATGTATGTCAGTCCGTCCTTGCTTCATACGCCTGCCTTTGGTTGGCCACCCCTTCTTCTAAATGCCCCACCTTCCCTTCCCTAAACCCAAAAGCTTCCTCACCCCTATCAACCTCTTTGGTGCTTCTATGACAGTATCGTCAAGTTAATGATTTCCCAGTTTGAGGAAGCCACCCTTCTCCTCCTGACATGCTAAGATTTATTGACTTGTTGTACTGTTGAGAGTTTCTGTTTCAGCAATTTCTTTAAACTTGCAGGTTAGCTGTCCAGATGGCTTACTTATTTCATTATTTACAGGTTAGGATGAAGCTCGTAAAAGATTGGCTTCCGGTGCTGATTGTATGCAAAGACAAAATCCCTGCCATGTTGCCAAGTCACCCATCACCATACCGCGAGCTAGAAGAAACATTCTTACGCATTATCTCTACACTGCCCATGCTGGATGCACAGGAGTTGTTGCAGCAGTGTCTCAGCTTTTCAACTCGAAATGTTGAAGACTGCCCTCATTTGGTCTCCGCGTTTAAAACCTGGTTTCGCCGTGCAAATAGATCTCCTCAAGCAGAAAACCTTTATTAGGTGCAGTCTTCCATCTTGTGAGAAGCCTATTCACAAGTGGGTTTTAGGCGTTTTCCCTGTGAAATATTGTACATATTCAACTGATGTTTAGAGAGAGACTATGTACTATGTATAACTTGTGTTTTTCTCTGTGCTGTGGAAGCAAATTGGCTTGAATAAGTCCGAAGCTCGTTAGTCTACATACCTGAAAAGTAGGTGCCATAACAGGTTGCAAGCTTGCATCGACTACTTGTCCATGTAAAACTTATTATCCATAAATACAGGTGGTAAAAATCAAGTTAAAAAGTTATTGAATTTTATAAGAATTCATATAAAACATGATTTAGAGATGAAAGAAAATTCAAAATTCAAAAATAAAAAATATTCTTTGTAAGTACCAATCAAACATGTTAGTCAGTCCAGATTAGACATTGCTTATTACCCTAATCTGTTTCATTATTTGTAATAGTTGTTCTTGCCATTTTTGAGTTCGTGTGGAGAACTAATCAATTGTAATCCGTTAACTCCGTGTCATGTTTGTGTTCGAGAGGGAGAAAGAAATTATTTTGAACTCTTTTCTTGGAAATTATTAGCAGCTATACTGATCCAGATAATTGGTACAAGCTAAGCTATCAGAATCCATTGAAGAGATCTGCATCTCTTTCCATCACCAAAACCTTACTGCTATCAACACACTTCTGATAAAAAAAAAGCCTAACTAAAACAAAAAATTCACAGAAATTAGAAGCCACAACAGACTGCACTAGCCGCATGAAGAGGATCATGACTGGTACCAATATATATTCATCCTACATAATTCAATGCAGGAAATACAGCGAAAATTCCTGCATAATGGATGTACCTTCAAAGCCGGTATTCTGTGTATCTGTGGAGGTATCATGAAGTGGAGGAGGATAGACCATGTCGGTGTCACTGGCCACATGAGGAGAGGACAAATCATAGTAGCTGTCTTCTGAAGTTTCTGGTGGTTCCTTGGTAGGTTCGAACCAGTAATCCCACACCTATCCCAACTCCGAGACACATGCTGAGGCCAATTCCAACACCCACCCTCACGCCAGCATTGAACCACGATAGCTCTCCATCTTCACTTTCTAAATATTCTATCCCTGAATAAAGAGGGTTATATTCTTCGTTTTCTGGCTTGTAAGTCGCATAGTCTGCTACCTGCAAAGCCAAAATAAAACAAAAGGCATAATTTATGATGCAAAACTAAAGCAGACTTGTAGCAAAGAAAGATGAGTGCATGTAAAAATAAAACAAAGATAACCAACCATCCTCCTGAAATAATTTTTTGGAGAAAACTAGAAATATGGAAACCAACCCTGCTTCAAGAAGCAGAGGAGGGGTTGCCAGTTGTTACCATAAGAACTTCAATTGTAAGCCGCCTTTCCATCATATGAAAGTAATTGACACAAAAATCACTCCCAATTAACCACTTAACATAATTTGAAGTGGAATGGAAAAATCTAAAGTTTATGTTAGTGTGCTATGGAGGGAGAGTGAGTCAGCATAGATCTTAGATTGACATGGTACCTGAAAAGGCGGTGCTATTTAGATATTAACTCAAAACCAAAAAAGGCCAGCATGCCAAGCAGGATTGTAACAATCAAGGAAAGTTCTCTCAATTTTACAGAAATATAGGAATGCCATGAAAAAAAGTTTCGCCAAACTATATACAACATAATGGCATTTAACACAAGTATGTCACCAAATGAAATCATTAGCACATTTTATTTCCATATTATCATAATGGTTTGGAAAAAGTTAACAAGAATCAGAAAACAGTGTGTGGAACCTATATCTATGAAGTTCAACAGAAAGAATTATATACTCATACACACAAAAAGCGGCCTATATTTTCTTTAAAAGGGAGGTAATACGTTAACTTGTATTAGAGAGTAAGCTAAGCATCATAGAACAAGGATATCAACAATTCTCGGGCAAAGGAATGGCCAGTCATTGAGCTGCAAATGACAGTGATGAGCAATTAGGTTATTTAGCTGACTTGCCCATTTATGTGTAAGATGGATGAAAGATCACAAATGAGCAGCAATAGAGTTGACATAGAGGTAACACATCTGTGCATAGCCATGTGGGATACTGCTAAATTATGGGAAGATAGTCACACAACACAAGGGGGATATTGAATTATTCCATGACTTAGAAATATGTGCCAACCCTATGCCTCCTGGCTTATTTATGATAACATTTTATACGCCCTTCATAGCATCAAAGACTATCTGCAACAAGAAGATTGCTGCAAACAAAGAAAGCATTTGTATTACACCAAGGTCTCTTAACATTGGCAATGTCAATAGTATACATACATCATGAGAGTGCAGATGAACCAAACAAGTCAAAAAGGAACCAAAATCAATAATACACATCCGAGATCAGGATTTAAGGAAAAATGAGTACCTGTAAATCAAGCTCAGATGGAACATTTTTCTGGCCTTCAGTTGCCTCACATTCTGGTATTGCTTTCAACATTCCATTCCTCGTTTGCTTCCTTCTAAAACTAAGCTTCAACGTCTTGGTCAAAATAATAGGATTACCCATGAAACAACCAGCCACATAAACTTCAATTGCTGGGGAACTTGATTCCAGGCCCATATGTTGTTTTGACTTAAAGAAGCCACTACAGGCAATTACATCTGACTCGCAATTCATGCCCCACGTCTGCCCATGATTTTCCAATTCCCCAGTGAAGCTATTACTAGTACACAATTCTAATGCCCCAGATAGCATGCAAACATCCCTATAAAAAACCTCAAACTTCACAGTCCCTGTCATCCTTATACCATCAGTACTCACAAATGTAACTTCCTCGGATTTCTTATCCAATCGGTCTCTTCTAAGAAGGGTTGACACACCATCGGAATAAATGCTAGTTCTTACACCATTTACTTCAAGAAGAGTATCGCGGTTAAGTGGAATATACTCCATTGTTAGGTGCTCAGGAGTAGAATCATCAATCTCACATTTGCTAACTCTGACATAAAAAACTCTTAAATCAAGCCAAGGTAAAGATACCTTCATATTTGGCTGATGAGGGGAGTGCCTCTTGATGTGGCCATTCTCAGCCAGTCCATTTCCATTCGCTTTCTCTTGAGAATTCTCCATGGGACTTAAAGAAACTGATCCTCCTTTATACTAAAATCCATAAGCATTAATTGAGATGATCACTTGGGAAACCAAATATAAGTAAGACTATGGGTATATGGAACCTGTGAAAATGTCAACAAATACATATCAAAGCAATTCACAAGGAGAATTTGAGACACCAGAATATTAAAGCAGCCACAAAATGGAGGAGGGTTAAAGCTTCAATAAGAGAAGATTAATTCCAACTATTCTCCATGGCAAACAGTAGGATCAACTTGAATGAACTTTCTGTTTCAATGAAGAGTTCAACAAAAAGGAGGTGGTGAACACAGAGATGAAGCTCAAGTCAATGAAAAATGAAAGCTATGAAGACATAAGAGTTGAGATAGAAGAACTGGACCCTTAGATTCATCTCTTGCTTTGTTGATTTAAACCGGGAAGGAACAAATCATTAATAAACAAGAGTAAGAACCAAGAGGACAACAACCACCTTAGCAGAGTGGAGACACTGCAAATAAGAGATAAAGTAGGGATAAGATGGTATAGAAATACAGAAAAAGAGAAGATTCAAACACTCACAGATGAAACACAACAAAACTTGTCAGCTGATGCCCTGCACAACATGGTCCCTGTCCAAAACTGATTTACATATGCAAAATTTAAAGTAAAAAGAAAGTTTTAAGTCAAGCTTATATAAAAAAATATATATATAGAAAAATTCTGAAGAGGGACATAAACATAACCCAATTCAGTAAAAAAAAATTTTAATTAAAAAAAAATTCAACCATAGAGAAGCAGATTAGCCGTATAGATAGCCAAGCTGAACTGTGAAGAAGAATTTCTTTTTTTCTTCTTTAAATGTTCAATTTATAAGGTAATTAGAGACCAAAATCAAAAAATAAGGTTTCATGCGTCATTATAAAGAAGAACCACAAACTCCAACCAATGACTACCACTAAACGACATATATATCATAGATGTCATACAAACATACAAATCTCTCTCTCTCTCTCTCTCTCTGTATTTTTTTCTGGGTTTGTGTGTGTGACTGCGTGTAAACGCTATCAAATCAAAGAAAACCATAACCATTTAACTAGAATGCACAACTCACCATTAAGTATCTGAATCTTCCAAACAGCTCTGAGCCACTAACCTCTTGTGTCCTTCGCTATCCACATAATCGAATTTGAGCCTCTCTGGAGATTTTCTGGAATCGCTTTCAACACACAACAACAAAACAAAACAAAACAAAGAAGATTGCGATATATAAAATCACAAAAGAAAGTCATCAAATTTAACGTTGAGAAAAGGGTTGTCTTCGTTTTGTTGTTTAATTATTAATGTGGGATTCGATTGTATTACGCAAAATATGAGTATATGCTAAAGAATTCTTGGAGGAAGTGGGGCCTCTGTATATCTAATATTCCTCAGATCTTATCCATTGAAGAGACATAAAACGCAGAGGTTCACAAGGTCTATGCACTTGAAAATGATGTCCTAAAAACTTTTTTGAAGGACCAATAACAATTTGTTTTATTTTATTTTTTTTTATTTTTGATCAAATAATTTATTTTATTAGTTAACGAAATTATAGTGAATTTTTTTTTTAATTCAACGGTGAGAGGTGTCTGAGTCAACATACGTAAATCTCAATTAATTCTCTCTCTGACCGATCAAAACTGATCATTTATACTGAGATTAATGTATTCACGAGAAATAAATCGAATTATAGTGAATTTCATATTTATTAATCTTGGATATTAAAAAAGATAATTTGAGAATAGTTTCAATTTATATAAAATATAATTGTTCTCATTTAACTATAAATTTTACTTTGTACTCTAATAGATAAAAATAATGTGATATATTTATATTTTTTTACATCATATTTGATGTTTAAAAATTCATTAAACATAAAAGAACTAAAGCCCGTATATATATTTTATATAAACAAAAAATAACTAAAATCATTAACCTAACTTAGACATGAATAGCATAATAAATCACATTTTTCTATCTAACCAAACAGATTTTGAAGAAAAAAGAAAGAAAATACTAATTTTCATAAAAGGGTTAGACTTGGGGTCAATTTTGAAAAACAATAAAAAATGATCAATAATAGTCCACTGATAAGTAAACAAAACAGGAAGTGAACCCCACTAAAACAAACAACCACTTAGTTACGTAATAAATAACAATTTTCATAATATTTTATACATTTTCTTATTGGATGGTTATACAAAATATTTACTCATAATTGATAGCTTAACAAGCCAAAAAATTACAATGTGCCTAACTTGTTTGACTTAATTAATTTTGTTTTATCTAATTCATTAGGGTCGACCAAACTAAAATTATCCAAAAAATATATAAAACACATATAAAAAAATTATTTTTTTCAGGGTGCACCCAAACCTCCCCTACTTTGGGGTGCAACTTGAACGGGTCAACCAGAATTCAACCTAAGGTTAACCCAAAAAAATTATAAAGTCAACCATTAAAAATTAAATTTCAATAGGTTCTCTATTTAGACTAGCTAAAATAGAGAGTCTTATTTGACTCTTTATATTTAGAGAGTTTTACTTACACTTTATTCTATTTTTAATAAATAACAAGATGACACATATACATTTTAAATATTATTAACTGTAAGATTATTTTGTTACTAGAATAGAGAACCTATTGGAATTGTCATCTATGTTATCATTTAAATTATCCCTTAAATAACAATGTGATCCAAGAAATAATAAAAAAAAAAAAAAATTCTTTCGAGCACCTTGTCATAGATGAAAATTTTATAGATGATTCAAATCTTTATGTAATCTATTTTTCGTCTCTTTTTTGTATTTTTTATCTCTTTTTAAGAAATTCATTTTCTTCTTTCTTGTGCTTTCGCGGAAGGAACGAAATGGCAATTTTTATTTTCTTGTAAAAATTGAAATTGTAACAAAGGACATGTGAACATACACCGACACGTCATCTTTTCCACGTGATATTCACGTTGATCAACATATGATAAAGAGCCTTCCACCAAAAGATAACAAATCATATAGGAGCTGACTATGTGACAGTGATAACAAAGCCATTCTCTTTAAAACGGCGTAAATATTGGGTGTAATAAAAGGGTACGTGAGAGATAAATAAATAAATGGACGATTGGGCGGAAAGGAGACTATGCAAAAATCCCACGAATCCCATGTGGCAGTCAATGAACCAACCAATAGCATTACAGATAAGTGTCCTTTGCATGATTTTTGGCTAATCGGACCCAGCGGGTTTGACCTGTTTATGGCCCGTTATGGGGCCCGGTGGGTTAACACACAGACCGAATTCCATTCATGAGCCTGGTGAATGCAACAGTTTCTATGAATCACAATAAGTACTCAACTGGAGAGGCATCATGCAGCCTCATTTCATGAATGCATGGTTCAAATTTCTATTCCAGCTACCATGCACCTCAACAGTATTAATGTGGGGGGGCGAGGAATTCGGCTCTTTGATAAGAGCAGACTGTGAACCTAAACATCCACTCACAATTCTTAACCTAAACCCATTTGAGCTCAAACTAAACCTGTCGAACTCATTCTCGTTTTTTTTAAGTCTAAAAAAATGTTCAAATTTATCTTGTTTAAAAAACAAACATAGTCTGAACGAGCCGAATTGGAGTATTTACACATAAACGAGTCAAGTCTGTCAAATCTGGTCCGAGTCAATCAAGCTCGTTTCTAAAAAAGTCTAAAAAAGTGTTCAAGTTTAGTTTATTTAGAAAATGAGTCGAACCTGAACGAGCCCAAAATAAGACGAACCCGAGTCAAGTTCGAGTAATTCAATTCGATTATCAGCCCTATCTTGAACACATTAAAGATTGATGGGAGCACTGTACAAAGCCTATGATTCTGTCACTGCCCCAACTGCAAAGTTCTCACCAAATAACCCTTATATGAGAGGTAGCAGATCAAGGTTAACAGTGATGCGCTTAACAAAGCTTTCAAAGCAAAATTAGAGACTTAGATGGTTGTACCATATTTATGTCCCAGTTCATTATAATTTTCCTTTTGCAAACAAGACCTTATAAAGCCGAGCTAAAACTGTCAATCTTCATATTATTTCCACAACTCCAACCCCAACAATTGGAAAGTGAATGCTGATTTCAGAATGTCTCAATTTGGGAAATGATAGTAGAAACTATCTAAAGTTTACCATTTTGGAATTGAAGGATGAAATTGCAACAATCTATCAATATTATGTTACCCAATGACTGCAAAACTTACAGCAAGCAATAGCCATGAATGAAAGGAAACAGTTAAGACCCTAGAGGCAGTGGATCCAATAGAAGACGAAGAGAAACCGCTCAATCGCAAGCTGCTTTGGTTTGAAGTTATAGCAGCCTGGAGTCTTTGTCACCGAGGAACTCCAAATTCTTGGGAATACCCACAAGAAGGTAAAGGAATGTAATTAGTGGATGGAACTTTCACTAGAAGAGAATGATAAAGTTTATGAGCAGAGTAAGTATATAAATGTTGACGAAGGACCAATGATAAAAACCCAAAAGAATTAATCACCGTAAGTCTATAACACATAGTGGGGAAGCAAAAGACTGTCGAAAATTATACTGTTGTGGATACAGGACAGTCACTAAATAATACTGTTAACAGAATATTCGAAAACTGATGATACAGGTGCAGTCAAACAAACTTTCTTTACCAGGCTTGCCAGAATTTTTCCTCTCTAATAAGAAAAGTACAATCACCACATAGAAAATGTCTTTCCATGGGATCACTGACGTGTTACTGGGAAAACTGGTCTGTATGCAAGATCTCATAACAACCAGACTATCTAACAGAACTCTACAAATTATGGAACAGAACGACCCAGTAAAAAACCAAGAACAGAGTTTACAAAATAAAGATGTGGATACAAGTCCCTGGTACCTATGCGGCATAATTTACCAAACGACATTATTCTACAGCTGACAGCATCCTTCCTATAGGAACAAAATATTACTACTCTGGAATTGGTCGTAATCAGACTAAAGAAATGGCAACCATTGAAATCTCTAGAATGACAAAAGGTGTTGTAGCCTTCTAGAAATGATGACAAACCCAGGGGAAGGATCAAAATACTCATTTGTAACCACTTCATCAACTGACACAAACTCCACGGAGGCCAATAAAAAAAAGGAGATTGTATGAGAATGTCAATAATCGGTTAAAATAAGAAAAAAAAAACAACACCAAATAATGCATTCAAACAATTTTCTACATGCTCCAAATTCAGAGTCAAAAACTTTTATAACTTGAAGGACTTCTTTGCCGTCCAATTGATACAGAACAAAAATCCTTTGCGTTTATTGTCTTGTATGAAACCAGCGAGCCTTGTCACAATGGTATTGCAAGTCCTATACAAGCAGTACAAGAACTAGTCAGGACACACCTAAGATTGAAGTTGCCAAAAAGAGTCATCCACCATCAATGAAGAGCTATAGACTATCTTATAAATCATAACCCATTAATGCATTTAGCTCCTCAAATTCCAATAATCAACATTGCATCTGTGTTTGGGAGCGTGGAACTTAAAATTAGAAATGGAATCCATTGGGGAGAACTTGGTTTACATTATGAACTGTTTTTTTCTTGATTTCAATACCAAATACCTCACTATTAGCAACGGAATATATATCAACAACACAACAGAGACCTATCATAGACTTAATTCAATAAATTAATGCTCTAACATTGGCAATTTTTTTCTTCAAAAAAAATTCTACAGGTGCATATAGAGTGAGAAAAAAACATATACCTTGAGAAAGCCAGCTCCAACAGGTGGAATCAACGGCAATACTCGACTTGAGACGAGCAGAGGCAATCGCGCTGTGAAGTGGCATCATGGACTCGACACTTCCCAATACCGAAGCAATCCTAAAAAGCAATTTTAACACAAGCATTTATAGATATAGCGCTACATATACATATTGAACGACAGCGGTTAGTTTTGGCGATACCTTGAAGCTACGCAAATGGTGGTTCTTCTGGAAGAAGGGAATGGAGAGGTGGGGATGGGTTTTGGAGTTAGGGTTTTGGAAATTACATTAGATCGAGCAGTGAAAGACCTAGAAGCGGTCATTACTGTTGATCTGAACGCGGAAGCCATATCCCTTATTAGGGTTTTTCCGCCCAAAATACAGAGGGCTGATAGAGATTGAAGAGTGAAGAAGACAACACTGACGCTTAAACCCTACAAGCCGTAAATATGATTACCTTCAAATAGTATCGAATGAGTCGAGCTGATTTTTATATCTTTGTAATGAGTTGAATTTGTTTGAAAAATCATAAGTTTTACCCTTAACTATGGGCTTTCTTTTAAATTGTTCCCTATTTTAATTATCCTCTAAATTATGTAATTTATTTCAATCATCACCTGGTGGTTTAGTAATAAGTCATTTTCATTTAAAATCGTCTTTGACTCTCACGTGATTATCATTCTTTGACTCTCATGTAGTTATCAAATATCAAGAATAGTTTGATCCACGGGAGTAATGCCCGAGCTAATAGTCTAGTGATAAGTTATTTCTGTTTATGATTATTTTAACTCTCATGTGATTATCAATTTTTGACTCTCACGTGGTTATCAAGAAAAGTTCAATCCATGGAAATAAGGCCTGAATTGGTGGTCTAATGGTAACTCATCTTCGTTAAGGATTGTTTTATAATTCTCATGGGATTATCGAGCAGGATTCAATCACGAGAGTAACGCGATTTTGTTGTTTGAGTTTGGTGGTGCTGTGATGACGGAATACTCTTTCAGGTTAATAACTATGATTCAAATCAAACATTCCACAGTGAGCACTCTCATGGTCATGCCCATAAAAGTTACTATTTATTAGTCGTCTCTACTCCTTTTCCTCTGATAAAAAAATAAAAATTCGATCGTTCCTTCTATTAAAATTAATCAATAATTGAGTCAAATTCTATTAAGATTAATAGTTAATTTATCTCATTTAATGATTAATCTTAAAAGAAAGTGTCGATTAAAATAAATTATATAGTTTAAAAGATCAATTGAAATAATTGAAAGTTATTGAGATAATTTACGACAAAGGCAATAATTTAGGGTGTATTGCTTATGAAATTTACCCTAAATTTTGCCATATTTGAAAAACATAAAACTTGTCGTAAATTATTTTCGCAAAATGGTTACGTGATTATATTGGAAGAAATTAATTAAAGGAGTGCCATATAATAGAGAATATTGGGCCGGGTCGGACCCTCTATTTTGCCCCATTTTTTGGTATAGTCTAGCGTGATTTTTAATTAGAATGATTGATCCACAATAAACTCATGAAAATAGTTCCTTGATGAGTCTCCAACTAGTAATTCGTAGGTTTGGTTAGAATGAGTGTTATAGTAAGGGCGTGTTTGTTTGCCAGATAACTGAGATATTAGGAGGTGGGATAGAGAATAGTTTGAGAACAACCAAGTCTATGGTATAATGGTACACAATGAGGCTGCTGGATGTGTGTGAGAGAGAAGAACTTAACCATTAAAAATTGATGGAAACTACTGCATGGTGAAATAAAGAACTGACCACATAGTGAAAAAAACTGAAAATTATCAAAAAGTCCAAACCTAGAGGCATTTAAGTTTGACTTCTAGCTTCATCCTCACTTTTTACCCTCCTTGTCATCTTCACTGTCTTGATCATATTTAAGATCATAGACGAATGGTTTTCCATGTTGGTCTTGCTTATTGAAACCTACAGAGACCAGATCCTCACTATTTCCTATTATTGTCAATCATAACCACCTTGCACTTCCTTTTACCACCCGACATAATTCCGACCATACCGTTATTGTTTACAGGAAACTCAATACTGGCTGTTTTGCAGTTAATCCTTAGCAAAGCAACCGACTCCCGATATGATCCAGGTCGCGGGTCAACTATACTAGCCTTCATCAACACAAAAAAATCCACAGCCATTTTCTTTACACATTTCCTATCAATTGAATATGTCTCAAAGTTGGCATACACCAATCTCTCTTCCTCTGAACGCAGGCGAAACGGAGTAATAAGATCTGTAGATAAAAATCCTTTCTCGTAGATCATCGAAACTTGGCCCGAGTAGTACCGGACAGTCGCGTTCTCCCTAGGGTTTTTAATGGAGAAAGTAACCCTCCAGTATGCTTCTTCATTGTTGAGAATGAGTGACAGAGAATCGATGTCGAATTCGGGAGCTTTATATTTAAGCTCATCATCCTCAGTGACCTTCAAAAGGTGGTGGAATGGACAAATGCCAACAAAGGACATCACAATTAGCACCCCGAGAAACACGAATAAACGATGTCGTTTTTTTTTATCTGTCATTGGTGGTGCCTTAGGGTTGGTTGAGATGAGCAGCTTCTCTTCAAGGTCTGTAGTAGCAGAAGTTCTGTACATTTTGGCTTGGCTTTGAGATCAGAGAAATGAAGAAAAGGTAAGAAAATATATATTTATGTAGGTATGAGAGAAGAAGATAATCATTATCGCTGAAGAAAAGGATGCTGTTAAGTAGGGATTATCTTTTGTTACAACTTGAGTTCTAATTGCTAACAAACACTAATGAGAGCGAGGCCGGCGCAACAGTAGAGCCAAAAAAAGGATGGGCTTTAGGCTCATATATAAAAAAAAAACTTGAAATGTTAGAGTTCAATAATAAAGTATAAATCAAAAATTCAAATTATTATAATTTAATTTAACAAAAAAATTTTTGAAAAATTACGTAAAAAAATAAAATTTAAAATTTACGTCTAAAAATACAGTCCATTTCACACATACACATTTATTAAAAAATAAAAAAGGGTTAACACTTTGATAAAAAAATATCTCTCTATTCCAAAAAATATCATTTATTAAACTCATTTTGTTTTTATTTAAACACAAAAATATCAAATAATTAAATTGTTCGTTCCATAATAAAAACTAATTAATATAAAAAATTAATAATATTTAATATATATTAGATGCCTAAATTACTAAAAAAGAAAAATAATGTGACACCACATTGTAATATTGAACATCTTTACTATAAAAGTACCTTATAAAAATCAATAAAAAATATATAAAATATAAAATAATATATGTTACTTTTAATCGTTGCGCGTCATTTAGTAATTAATGTGTTTCATTTAATTGATTTCATGGACGAAGACATGACAGTAAGGGACGAGCAAATACTACAATTATTGCGAGATGTACAAATACTACAATAACATAGCAGGACCAACCCTAGGGCCCAACCATTAAAATAATCGCCTAGAGCCTAAAAATTTAGAGATCCAATTTAATTTTCAGTCTTTTGTTTAGCTTCATATTCTGAAGTCCTTTTAAATGATTAAATTAAAATAAAATATATTTCACAAGTTCATCTAAAACTTTATAAAAAATCCTAAAATATAACTATTTTTATAAGTCTATATAAATCTTTATACAAAGTCCTAAAATATAACAAAATCTTCTAAAAAAATTAAAATTAACGACTTCTAATTTTAAAATTAGCAATCTCTCTCAAATTCTTTTCATTAATTTTTCCTCGCCTCTTTCCAACTCTTTTTCTCCCTCGCAATCTTATTGTCTTACTTGATTTATTGTCTGTATCTTTATCTATCTTGGTGTTTCTTTAAAATTTTATTCAATTTATTCATATGTAACTTCTCCACATTTGGCTTTGAGATCAGAGAAATGAAGAAAAGGGCAGAACATGAAAGAGACGAAAATTGATGGACCTTTTGAGCAAATAGTATATATTTATGTAGGCATGAGGGAAGGAAGATAATCATTATCTCTAAAGAGAAGGATGCCGTTACACATGTGCACGAAATTAGGGATTATCTTTTGTTACAATCAGAGTTCTAATTGCTAACAAACACTAATGAGAGATGAGAATTCTTCAATATACTTTTTTTTTTATTTTTTTTTGGTGGATCAGTTATAACTTTATTCAAATGAGACCCATTTTATTTATCTGGGTTCCTTCATTAACGAGGGACTTGGGTTTTCCTTCATTAACGAGGAATCCCTAACTACCCTTCATTAATGAGGGATTCGGGTCCTTAACTAAAAGAAATATACAGTGATACTAGTGCACAGGATAATTCTGCAATAGTATGAGACAGCGATCTCCCAGTTGGTAAACCTGAAACAATAGGGTCAGAAAAAGGGGGTCAGGCGAGCGCCCGGCTAATCCCCTCCGAAGCTTAAGTAGTATAAGGTCGAAAGGTTTTGCTCAATGGATTATTTTTCTGATTCAAGTTTGCGTACCTTTGTCCATTTTTTTGAAGAGTATTTATACCTGAATAACAATGATTGTCAAATATCTCCAGTCTCATATGAACATCTTATATCTGACACATCATTCCTCGTGCAATGAGTGTTTTCAACTCACGTCTCCTCCTATTAAATGCTAGGACAATGGGGTAAATGCTCGGCCAAATGCGAGCATTTATGCCCCTCCCCGAGTACCAAATCCCCCAGATCGGCATCTGACATCAACTGAGCATTGAATACTCGGGAGGAACAGTTCCTTGGGAAGCCGATTGCGCCATCTCGGCGCATCAGCCATTAATGCTTATCCATCATGACGGTAGGCCTAAACTCCCAGAGGGCAGGTGCGATTATTTGTTTTGTCATTATCACTCATTCTGCCATAAATGAGGGGTCACATCACATTAAATACGATGTCAATTGTCGTACTCGGCTGTTCCGTGTCACCATATCTCGGCTTACCTCCTTGGCACCCTTTGGATATCCCACCGGCTTCATTATTTCACGTGTCAAACCCAGGGCCTGTAGAGCCACCTAGAGTCCTGCCAATTGCCCCACAGTCGCCATCCTTTTCGCAGTGTGAGACAAGTGGCGTAAAGAGATTGGGGGCTCCATCATTATACCTTATTAATAGCGACGGTTACTTGCACATATGGTGCTGCCCTTTCAAATGCCCTAATGATGACCCAACTTTTTGATTCTTACTCCCTGTAAAGCAGTATAAATAGAAGGTTTTCATACCTTCTTAGAACTTTTGCATCATCAGCCTCTCTTCAGCAATCAGACCCCGAGTGCTCCTCTTCTCCTCCGAGTTTCCTTCGTCCTCCGAGCTCTCTCTTTGAAGACCACATTCAT